AAGTATTTTATTTTTTAGGTGTTAATGTCAATGATAATGTGTTTCTAATTTCAAATTCCACTTGTTCATTGCTGGTGTATAGGAAAGCGATCAACATTTGTATGTCAACCTTGTATTTTGCAAGCTTACCAAAATTGCTTAGTAGTTCCAGAAGTTTTTCTGTTGATTGTTTTGGATTTTCTACATAGACAATCATGTCATATGCGAACAAACACAGTTCTATTTTTTTCTTTCCAGCTAGTATACAGTTTATTTTCCTTTATCACCTCATTGTGTTAGTTAGCTCTCTTTTTTTAATCCCTTTACTTATTTTCTTTTTTTTAAAAATATTTATTTATTTAGCCCTGGCTGGTGTAGCTCAGTGGATCGAGCACGGGCCTGTGAACCAGAGGATCGCGGTTCGATTCCCAGTCAGGGCACATGCCTGGGTTGCAGGCAGGTTCCCTGCAGGGGATGCACTAGAGGCAACCATACATTGATGTTTCTCTCCCTCTCTCCTTCCCCTCTAAAGATAAATAAATAAATAAAAATTTTAAAATTAAAAAAATATATATTTATTTATTTATGTTTAGAGGGGAAGGAGAGAGGGAGAGAAACATCAATGTATGGTTGCCTCTAGTGCATCCCCTGCTAGGAACTGGCCTGCAGGGAACTGGCTTGCAACCCAGGCATGTGCCCTGACTGGGAATTGAACCACCATCCTCTGGTTTGCAGACCTGTGCTCAATCCACTGAGCTACACCAGCTAGGGCCCTTTACTTATTTTCTCTATCCATTTGTTTCCTGTTTATTCTTCACTTTTCAGTCTGAATAACATTCTTATCAAATCAGACATGGGAATTGAGAGGGGTATGTTTCAAAAAAACAGCACACATACTTAAATTAATTAAATTAATTGAACGTAAAGGAATTGAGTTTTTAAATGCTTATAGACTTCCAAGTGAAGTTAATTTTGACTGAGCCTTTTGAGAATTTGAACTGGTTGAAAAGATGAGAGAGAAGAAAGATTATAGACAAAATCTGTCATATGGTAAGAAATGACAGATTTCTTACCATATTTCTTACCAAATGACATATTTGTGCAGCACTATAGTCAATTACATGGCATGTATTAGATTGAAAAGGCATTGTGGAAAGAATGGGAATTGGTGAAAGTGGTTATGGGAAGAAGCACTTTATTTTACTTTTATTTAATTGTTGTTCAAGTACGGTTTTCTGTCTTTCATCCCAGCCCACCCCCCAGGTCCCCCCCACCTCCCTCCCATTTCCACCCCCCTTAATTGTTGTCCATGTGTCCTTTATACTTGTTCCTGTAAATCCTTCCCTTTTTTCCCATGAAATTCCCTCCCCTCTCCCCGCTGGTCACTGTCCGCCTGTTCTTTTTTTCAGTGTCTTTGGTTATATTTTGCTTGCTTGTTTGTTTTGTTGTTTAGCTTCCTGTTAAAGGTGAGATCATATGGCATTTGTCTTTCAACATCTGGCCTATTTCACTCAGCATAATGTTTTCCAATTCCATCCATGCTGTTGCAAAGGGTAGGAGTCTTTCATTCTTTCTGCTGCATAAAATTCCATTGTGTGTATGTACTATAATTGGCTGATCCAATCATTTACTGATGGGCACCTAGGTTGCTTCCAACTCTTGGCTGCTGTAAATTGTGCTGCTATGAACATTGGGGTGCATAGGTTCTTTGAAATTGATGTTTTAGGATTCTTGGGGTATAATCCTAGCAGTGCAATTGCTGGGTCAAAAGGCAGGTTCATTTTTAGTTTTCTGAGAAAATTCCATACTGTTTTCCATAGTGGCTGTACTAGTCTGCAATCCCACCAACAATGGATTAGGGTCACCTTTTCTTCACAACCTCAAAACACTCGTTTGTTGCTTTGTTTATGATGGCCATTCTGACTCTTGTAAAGTGGTATCTCATTGTGGTTTTAATTTGCATCTCTCTGATAGCGATATTGAGCATCTTTTTATGTGTCTCTGGATCTTCTGTATGTCCTCCTTGGAGAAGTGTCTGTTCAAGTCCTTTGCCCACTTTTTAATTGGCTTGCTTGTCTTCTTAGAGTGGAGTCATGTAAGTTCTTTGTATATTTTGGAAATTAAACCTTTGTCTGAGGTATCATTGGCACATATGTTTTCCCATGTGGTTGGTTCTCTTTTTACTTTAATACTGTTTTCTTTAGCCATGCAGAAGCTTTTAATGTTGATGAGATCCTATTTGTTTATTCTTTATGTCCCTTGCTGTAGGAGACATATTAGTAAAAATGTTGCTGTGTGAAATATCTGAGATTTTCCTGCCAATGTTCTCCTCTATGACTTTAACGGTTTCATGGCTTATATTTAAGTCTTTTATCCACCTTGAATTTATTTTGGTTTATGGTGTAAGTTGGTGCTCAAGTTTCTTTCTTTTTTTTTTGCATGTAGCTGTCCAGTTCTCCCAACACCATTTGTTGAAGAGGCTATTAAATTAGTCCATTTTATGTTGCTGCCCTCTTTGTCGAATATTAATTGCCCATAGAGACTTGGGTTTATTTCTGGGCTCTCTGTTCTGTTCCATTGGTCTATGTGCCTGTTTTTATGCCAGTACCAGCCTGTTTTGATTACAGTGTACAAAGTAGGAGAGAAGAGGCACTTTAAATAAAGTGAGACTTAAGTGCTATCTCATGGCACCTGAAGTCATGTAAAACTTTATAAAACCATTTTCATGTAACCTTTTGAGATAGATGGGGAGGTATTCTTATTTTACAAATGAAAAAATTAATGCTTAGGTTAAGGAATTTACCAATACCGTATAACAGTATGTGACCTTAGTTAGGACTAAAACTTATTATCTACACTAACAATGTCTTTGTTCTTCACTGTTGTCATTTACACCTTTTTTGCCTTGCCATAGTACCCTACACTAGTAACTCTTTTAACAGTTTATTGTGTCTTCTTGTGCATTATCTGATTTGATTCTCTAAAGCCTTATGTAGTTTAGGTATTACTATAATCTAATTTTACAGATAAGAAAAATAATTATGAGACAAGGTAAAATGAACAATGTAAAGTAGGTAGAACTGCTTTCTTAGTTCCATCAGTTACTTATATCTGCTTGCCTTTTTTATTGTTCATTTTTCAGTTTCAGTCTAGATATTGACTTTTCTCTTAGCCTAGGCTAAAAGAAGTTAGATAGGTTAAGAAGGTCAACACCATAGTAAGTAGAATAACAGATGCAGATACAAACTACGTGTTCTAGTTTCTGTCTTCTTACCAATACTCTATTCTGGAATTAAGTACCTATAAGAAGACCCACTAGTTTCTTGAGACTCATTTATACCATGAATGAGAATTATTCTAGTAGATGTGTGTGGGATCATTTAGAAAGGTCAGAAGTGGAGGTTTGTGGTATCATCTGTCAGGTGGCCATATAACACAATTTGTTAACAGACCTAAAATTTTGTTGAAAAGTGTGAAATGATGAAGTTCTAAACAGAGATAAAAATTTCAGTATTTGGATAGCTTTACTTAAAAATGCACAGAAATGAAGTGTTATACTCTCCTACCAATATTTATATTATTTAACAGTGTTGGGACTACTTTAACTTATTGATAATACTTTAAAAATAGGGAATATATCTACTTTTTCATTATTTCCATGAATTGTGTTTTAGGTATAAATGAGACCGGGAGGAAATGGTTTATATTGTGTTGCTGTTACATATTTTATGTATTTTAAGCAGCTGCTACAATCCAGTTTGAAGTGTCTATGTATTTTCTCATATGTATTGATTTCTCATGGCTGACTTAAATTACTGCTAAAGCAACTCAGTTGCTTTAAAAAAAAACAAATTTATTCCCTCACAGCTCTAGAGATCAGATGTCTGAAATTAGTATCACTGGGCTGAAATTAAGGTGGTGGTAGGGCTGTGCACTCTCTGTAGTCTCTAGGGGAGACTCTGTTCCTTCTTTCAGCTTTTGATGGCTGCCCATATTACCCAGTTTGTGGCTTCATCGCTGTGATCTGTTGTCTCTGTGGCACACTGTCTTCTTTTCTGTCTGTGCCAAATCTCCTTCCCTCTTCTTGTAGGGAACCCGTGATTATATTTAGGGCCTACCAGGATTATCCAGGATAATTTCCCCAACTCAGAATCTTTAATGATATCTGCAAAGTCTTTTTTTTTTTCTTTTCCCCATGTAAAGTAACACACAAAGGTTCCCGGATTTGAGGAGCCATTATTTAGTCTACTACAATCCTTACTGTCTTTCACTTTTTCTTCTTTTTTTTTTCTCATCTCTTCTCTCCTATTTTTATTCTTTTTCATCTTTCAGAAGCACATGGAGGCAAGCAGATTAGATATGATCTGAATTTATGAACACGGGTAGAGTGGGTATGGTGTAAATCAGTGAGTGACCCTTATTGTCCTCACTATAGAACATCAGATTGTATTCACATTAACTTTTTGTCATCATCTAATTAGTTGACAGTAGTGGTACCTTTGTAAAGTTTAGCACCCTTTATCAATGTAATTATTGACTCTTCGGGTAAAATATGTGAGTTAACTGATATTGCTTTCCAATCAAAGGATGTGTTGATTAGATTGGCAGTCATTGATGGTATTAAGAAAATAGCCAAATAGCTACTAACATTATTTCATAACCAGTTTCATGAAGGAAATGTTTTTTTCACCTTTGCGTTCTGTTGTAGTCATAGCTCAGACTTGAATGGAATGAAGGTAAACAGGAGGGTTGGCAGGCTTCTGATCCAGTAGTTCATTGTCAAGAGACCTTTGTGGTTTGGGGCATAACACATAACCTTTGGGCCTCTGTTTCTTAGTATCTAGACTAAAAAAGTTGAATTATATGACTAGTAATATCTCTTTTAACTTTAAAAGCTTCTATCTGGTATTTAGCATAAACTATTTTAAAAAAACAACAAACAAATCTTATTTTGTACTATTAAGAAAAATATTGGCAAGATTACTTTGAATTAACTGTTCGTGCTTTTTATTTTTCTGTAGATGGACCACACATCCCCAACCTACATGCTTGCTAACTTAACCCACTTACATTCTGAACAACTTCTACAGGGTCTGAATCTTCTTCGTCAACATCACGAACTCTGTGACATCATTCTTCGAATAGGTGATGTTAAAATTCATGCTCACAAAGTGGTACTTGCCAGCATCAGCCCATATTTCAAAGCTATGTTCACTGGAAACCTTTCTGAGAAAGAGAACAATGAGGTTGAGTTTCAGTGCATTGATGAAACTGCTCTCCAGGCCATTGTGGAATATGCCTACACAGGAACTATTTTTATTTCGCAGGACACAGTTGAATCACTCCTTCCAGCAGCAAACCTACTCCAGATAAAACTTGTCCTGAAAGAATGTTGTGCATTTCTTGAAAGCCAACTTGATCCTGGTAATTGTATTGGAATTTCTCGTTTTGCAGAGACATACGGTTGTCGCGACCTTTACTTGGCAGCCACTAAATACATATGCCAAAATTTTGAAGCTGTTTGCCAGACTGAAGAGTTTTTTGAGCTTACACATGCAGATTTGGATGAAATTGTTTCCAATGACTGTTTGAATGTAGCTACAGAAGAGACTGTTTTTTATGCACTTGAGTCTTGGATCAATTATGATGTACAAGAACGCCAGAAATACTTAGCGCAGCTACTTAACAGTGTGCGATTACCATTGCTGAGTGTTAAGTTTCTCACTAGACTATATGAAGCAAATCATCTGATTCGTGATGATCGCACTTGCAAACATCTTTTGAATGAAGCCCTAAAGTACCACTTCATGCCTGAACATAGACTCTCTCATCAGACAGTCTTGGTGACACGACCTCGCTGTGCTCCCAAAGTACTTTGTGCGGTAGGAGGAAAATCTGGACTGTTTGCCTGTTTGGATAGGTAAATAGAGGATTGATGTTAAAGATTTTATACTTTTTAAATGCATTTGCCATGTTTTTAGAATAGTTTGAATTTCCTATTTTTTTTATTTGCATCTCCTTGCTTTTTCTCTTCTTCCTAAACACTTGCCTGGTTGTTTTAATCACATTGTCCTCTTTCCTCTACAACTCTCAGCTTTTAACACCTACCCCCCCATTGTGCACCCCAGTCCACACACTTCATGTCTTCTGGTAACTCACTAACTTTTCTCCTACTTCATGTCTTTTTTTTCTTTATAAAACCGTTTGCATCTTTATTTGAGTCACACCAGGTTAGAGAGATTTAAAGCTAGCTAAAGAGAAGAGCTAGGAATCTGATGAGGGAGACTGAGGACAAGATTGGGTTTGTATGAATCTAATAAATTAGAAGAACCACCAAAGAAATAAGAAAAAATAGGAAACTGATAGAAATCATGGACTTTATGTGCAATTTATTTTCTTTGGTATAAAAATTTTAATGACATTTGTAGAAAAGTTCTCTAATAACTTGGATCTGTCAGATGATTTCTATTAAGAGACAAATAATAAATATTTTAAACTTTGTAGCCATATAGTCTCTGTCATAACTACTCAACTCTGCCAAGTGTGAAAGAATCCATAGGCAATACATAAATGAATTAGCATAGCTGGGTTCCAATAAAACTTTTACTCACAAAAATAGCTGGTGGGCTAAATTTGCCCCATAACCATAGTTTGCCAATCCCTGCTTTTTAGATTATACAAATAACTTTTATACATTGAAAGTATAGCTGGATGTTACCTTTGCCTTTCCTTTGAATGGAACTGCTTCGTGAAAACTTTTATGTTGAATATATTTCTTTAATACTTTCTATTTTTTTCTATTTCCAGAAACTTGGTTGATTGCTTTCCCTGCCTCAATAAAACATTATTGATGTTTTATTGATGTCAATCGGTATATTTGTACCTTTTTGAAAAGCCTCAGTGTACATTTAATATTATCATTGAAATCAGGCTACAAGTAAAAACATTAGTGTGGTGAACTATGTAAATTACTTACTTTTCTCTTTTAAGATTATTTATTTGGGGGTCTAGGGGGAGGGAAGGAAAATAAGAGGGAGAGAGCCCCGGCTGGGGCGGCTCAGCATATAGGGTGCCAGCCTGTGAATGGAGAGGTCACTGGTTCAATTCCCTGGTCTGGTGCATGCTTGGGTGCATGCCTGGGTTGCAGGCCGGGTCCCTGGTTGGGGGCATGCCAGGGGCAACCCACCAGTGTTTCTCTCCCAAGGCAGTGTTTCTCTTTCTCCCTTCTTCTCTCTAAAATAAATAAATAAATAAATGAGATCTTCTGAAAAAGAGAGAGTGAGAGAAACATCAATGTGTGAGAGAAATGTTGATGGGTTGCCTCTCGCATACCGCCAATTGAGGACTTGCCCCACAGCCCAGGCATGTACCCTGACCAGGAATTGAGCTGGTGACCCTTTGATTGGCAGATGATACCCAAGCCACTGAGCCACACTAGTCAGGGCTGTTTATTCTTCTTAAAGGCATTGATTATTGGCATAAAGTGAATCATATTAGATATTATGACACAATTTCAAATATGAATTTACATTGTAAAAATTCTTGAGCAGTTATCTCTTGGTCTCTTGAGTATTAAAAAATAACCGACTATCAAAGAGTTGTAAGAACTGTTAATATCTGTAAATCAGTCTTCTTTCATCATAGAAGCTATCAGAAGAAAAAATGTGATATTTATAACTATGGAAAAGTTGGAATCATCCTGAATAATTATTCAGTTTAATTCTACAAAGAGTATTAAACACCTGTTCATCAAGCACTGTGCTAGATAATGGATCTTTAACAAGTTCATAATTTAGTGAAGGGGACAAATATTTTAAAAGATTATTATAATGCATATTTTTAATATGGTGATAAAGATAATTCTATGGAAAATATTAAGGAGAAGCATTTATCCCATTTGGGGGATTTAGGAAAGATATTATGGAAAAGTTAATGTTCAAGCTGAGTGTTAAAGGCTAAGCAAGAGCCAAGCAAGAAAACAGTGGGAAGGTCACAGGAGGTACAGAAAGATAAAGTCGTATGTTACAGTATAGGCTATGCAGGAAATGAAAAACCGTTTGGTATTCCAAGGTATACAACTTTTACTATCAAGTAGCATATGACTTTTACTGTCAAGTAGCAGGCCAAGTCAAGGTATTGTGTTCCATGATGACAAAGGATATTTATTAGGTGGGTTAAAAACTATTTTAAGAAGGGTAGTAAAATGATTTTATATCAGATCATTCTTGACTGTTTTATGGAGGTACATCAAGGTGGCCAGGATTAACATCAGAGTGATTAGGAAAGAGGTTATTATAAAAGTAAGTACAGGCAAGAGGTTATGAGGTCCTAAATTAGGGTAGTAGTAGTAGTAAAGATAGAGAATGGGGTATTCATTTAAGAACTGTTCTGAGAGACCAGATTGATAAGATTTCACTGAACGTGTAAGAGGTGATAATGAGGGGGGAAATCAATCATGAGTAAGATTTCTTGGTTAGATATTGGATGAATGGTTGATTAGGTTATATACCAAGAGAAAGAGAGAATATAGGAGGAGCAATTTTACTGGGGAAATAATGTGTTTAGTTTTTGAATGCTCTGTTTGAATTGCCTATTAAATATCCAAGTGAAGGATATCCTAGTACTAGCTGGATATGATTACAGAGCCCAAAGACGAGGTCAGTGCTGGAAATTGGGTAGTTAGCATATAGTATAACTTAGAGTTATAAATTAAAACCATAACTTCCTATCACTCAGAAAATTACAAGGAGTTCTGTGCAAGGAACCTGGGACAAAAACCAAACACATTTTTTTATTATACTGTTATTGTATGTCCCTGTATACCGTCTAATGTAACCTAATTGCCTAGCTTATTTGTTTTTGACTTCTTAAATCTGCTTCGTCCTCTAGAGCTCACATCCTATTATAAGAGATGTCTGCTTTATCCTTAAGTTCTTGTTTGCTGTAATGAAATAAGGCTGAGAGGCTTAAGGACACTCTTTTTCCTGTCTCAAAATTTTTTTCCATACCTCATGTATCACAGGTCCTAAAAGTTATTAAGTACTTTTTTTTTGTTTTGCTCCTCATAGCCACTTTCAAAATTTCTTCGTCTCCCCTCCCTCAAAACCCTCCACGCATGTCAAGCCTTTGCCATCAGGCTATGTCATGTGATACCCTTCCTGTTACCACCATCTGCTATTCCTTCAGCAACTTCATTTATTGAGGATTTTTATAAATGGTTGTCTTTCTCATCATTTACATAAATAATTGTTCTTATTGATGTCAACATCCACATAGTACAATCCACAGTTATCCAGCTCCTTTGTCTCTCTCCTTGAACTCACTTCTACCCATCTTTTCTGCCTTACCTCAGGCACCCATTTTCATGGTCATACCCTCAACTTTGTTATTACCAATGACTTAAACACTTTGAAGATCTTGTTTTCAGACATTCCACTCTCTGTCCACCACCTCCTTTCTTGCCAGCTTATTTATTTCAGTACACCCTCTGCAACCATTCTTTGTACCCTTCAAGATTTTTAGTCCTTTGGCCTTCTAATCAGTTAGTAAAATTTATTGCTTATCAACCACCACATGTCCTTGCCTTTGCTCTTTACCCAGCTTAGATTCCAGGAACATTGATGTCATCATTACTTTGAATACACTCATGGCCCTCTTACCAGTCTTTCCTTCCGTTGTACTCATCTAGTAAAGTTCAGTTTCCCACTTAGGCGGTGGCTGCACCTGAGCAACAGAATGTGGCTGGAGAGACACATATATCCATCTTAACTGGTCTCACTTGTGGCTCTCAGCACTCTCAGTCATCCCTATGCCTTTCCCTAATTAATTTACTCTTTCCCTTCCTTGGAGGACTGTTTTACACCATCTGGTCTCTCCATAAAAACATCCTTACCCTCACTTTCCAACTCTTCAGCTGATGACCTTGTCTCTTACTCTACTGAGAAAACAGAAGCAATCTGAAGAGAGCTGTCTCATCTTCCTATCACCAAATCTACCAACTTATCTCTAAGACCAACCCCTCCACTTATCCATTTATTCACCAATTTCCATTCCATCTCTCTACACAAAGACTCTGCTCTTACTGTTGTTCTGTTGCTGTTCTGTATTAATCACTTTCTCTCACTCTACTGCCTAGTAGCCAGCAGCATACAAACATGTTCTAATTTAAACTCCCAGACTAAATTAATCTACCTTGGACTCTGTCATCTTCCTTTGCTCTTCTTTATAGCTGCCTTCTCGTGTCTTTCACTCTTCATCGTAAAGGCCTTGGAAAAATTGTCTGTACCCACTGTTTTATCTTCCTTATCTCCTATTCTTTCTTGAGCCACTCCAGTCAATATATGTCTTCACCATTTCAATGAAACCACTTGCCTTAAGATCAAATAGTTTCCTGATGTATTGTTCTCATTGGAACAAATTTACATTTTTAAAACAAGCAATATAACAAAACTATATTTAGTTATTTAGTAACTATTGAGTGAATGAATGTACTTTGACCATATATGATAAAGAAAATATATTTTTATGCGATGCATTTTGAGCCTGGGACATTGGATACTTTTTCCCAACTTTTTTTTATAATGAAATATTTAGAAATGTAAGAAACCATATATAATATGCATGATAGATACCCAAGTATCTATTAACAAGCTTAAGAAATAAACTAATAACAATATCTTTAAAGTCCCCTTACACACCTCCTAGAAGCTGTCTCCTTCCCTCCCCCAGAAGGAACCACTATTCTGAATTTTCTGTGCATTATGCCTTTGCTTTGTGTTATAATTTTGCTGTATCTTATATGTGCCCCAATATATCATTAGGTTTTACACTTTTTTTGGTTTTACATATTTTTAAATAAATGAAGTAGAATTATATATATTCTTCAAATATGTATTTTCTCATTCAGTAAATTTACAAAATTCATCTGTGAGACTGCATGAGGAAATAGTTCATTAGTTTCATTATAGTATATGGACATAATATTTTCTACAATGAACAAATTAATTACAAAAATTAATTGAAGTTCCATAACATGTAGAAGAGTTCACAAATTCTAAGCTCAAGGAATTACCACAAAGTGAATATTACAAACCAGTTCAAGAAGTAGGAAACATGACCAACACCCAAAAACACCCTTGAGCTCCCTCCTTGTCCTCCCCAAAGGTAACCAGTATCCTCATTTTTACTCCAGAGATTGGAAATGTTTTTTGAGCTTCATATAAATGGAACTACCCATATTTTGCTGTGTATAATGTGCACTTCTTTGCCCAAATTTTTTAGGGAAAGATAAGAATGTGCATTATACATGGAGAGTACTAATTCTGTATCTATATAAATGTTTTTAATTCTTTTGTTTATGTTTATGAATGAAAAGTATAATTCTAGAAAGTGATAGTGATATCTGTATGCAAAATAATACCCTAAAATACAATAATCAATTTTGTTTCTAAATATAAATATGTAAAAAACTAAAAGATCTTTTTTTCTGAAAGTTTGGGCCAAAATTATACACAGGGGTGCATTGTACATGGCAAAATATGGTGTATAGAATATATTCTTTTGAATTTGTCTTCTTTCCCTCAATATTATATGTATAACTTTCATCCCTGTTGTATGTAGTTGTATGTAGTTCATTTTCATTGCTGTATGGTATTCTCTTATGACATACCACAATTTAACCATTTTTTTGGTTGAACATTTGGCACATTTAAAAACATCTAGTTTTTTACGCCCTGGCTGGTGTAGCTCAGTGGATTGAGCATGGGCCTGCAAACCAAAAGATCGTGGTTTGATTCCCTGTCAGGGCACATGCCTGGGTTGCAGGCCAGTTCCCAGCAGGGAAGCAACCAGAAGCAACCACACATTGATATTTCTCTCCTTCTCTCCTTCCCTTCCCTTCTAAAGATAAATAAATTAAAAATTAAAAATTAAAAAAATAAAAGCAAGGATACTTTTTTAAAATAAATAAAAACATCTAGTTTTTTAACTATCACAAGTAATGTTTTCGTGAACATCCTTGTATATACACATATGTGTACATTTCTTTTGTGAACATATCTAAGAAGGGAATTGCTCAGTCATAGAGTGGATATACCATTTTATTTATCCCTTCTCCTTTAGATGGATGCTTGTCGTTGTGCCGCTATGAACATTTCTGTGTGTGTGCTTGGTACAAAACTGACTGTACTAGGTGCTCAGTAGAATGCATACACAGGAATGAAACTGCTCCGTCAGGACATTTGTATATCTTCACTTTTACCAGATAATGTGAAATTGTTTTCCATAGTAGTTTTATCAGTTTACACTGTCACTAACAAAGTATTCATTCTTTGTTTTCCACATTCTTGCCAATAGTTATTAGCTATTATCTGACTTTAAATTTTTTCCAGTCTGTAAAGTGTGTCATGGTTTATTGTGGTTATAATTTCATATCCCTGATTACTAATGAAAAGAAACATTTTTATTTGTTTATGGACCATTTTGATTTTTAAAATTTAATTTTTTTCTACTTATTTTTTAGTGTGGAGATGTACTTTCCTCAGAATGACTCGTGGATTGGTTTGGCACCCTTAAACATGCCTCGCCATGAATTTGGAATATGCGTTTTAGACCAAAAGGTGTATGTTATAGGTGGTATTGAAACTGACGTGCGTCCCGATTTCACTGTCAGAACACATGAAAATTCAGTAGAATGCTGGAATCCTGATACAAATACCTGGACTTCTCTTGAGAGAATGAATGAGCACCGAAGCACCCTTGGAGTAGTGGTACTTGCAGGAGAACTTTATGCTTTAGGTGGTTACGATGGACAGTCTTACTTACAATCTGTAGAGAAGTATATTCCCAAATTAAGGAAATGGGAACCTGTGGCACCAATGACTACAACACGAAGTTGTTTTGCCGCAGCTGTGCTGGATGGAATGATATATGCTATTGGTGGGTATGGTCCTGCCCACATGAACAGGTACTTAACTTAAGCTGTAGATTTTTAAAGTATTATTAACAGTGATCTCTCATTTTTAAACAATTTTTGTGTATAAATTAACTTCTCTTTTTAAGTTTTAAAGTATATAATATTAATAGATGTTTTGAAAATTTGACCTGCTCCCTGATTATAGCTCTAATTGTTTTACTTGGGGATTTAGTACAAACCTAAGAATCAGTGCCTCTTACTATATTTTACTTTCATTCAATCAATATATATGGATAGATTTTAAAGTTCAGAAATATGAAAATAAGATGAAGTTAGACAACTTTAGATTTTGGGTGTGTGTGTGTGTGTGATAGGCCTGTTATTGCATTACCTAGTAGAATAAAAACTGGAAATTGTAATTTCTGTATGCTTATACAGTATTACAATGCATCATATAGACTTAGAGCCTTATTTAAATACTTCTTTTTGGATTCTTACTCTATAATCATATATTATGTGATGCTGTTATGCTACATGCTGAACTTGAGGTTTCTGTACTTTATATTATCCCATCAATAAAGGAGAAAAATAAAAGCATAAAGTGACTGCTTATATGGCAAATTATTCATAATTCTGAACCTTTGTTGAAAATTGATGTTCCAGGCATTTCATCTCTAATACTAATTAAAGTGGCATATGGTTTATTATGAGCATTTAAATGAAAGAATACATTGTGATTTGTTAACTGAGAAAGTAATGGCACAACAGCATCTCATCTATAAATACTTTGGTGTAAGCAAAAGTCTTCCCTTTTTCTATTCTCTCAGTTGAAGGAAAAATATTTGGGTCCCAGGCATACATTTCTATTATTTGAAAAGTTGCTGACAGAAATTTATAAGATGAAAGGTTAAGTATTTTAGTTTTGAGATAATACTCTTGAAGTTTAGGTTTTTGCTACAGTTCATTGGCAACTATTGTCTAGTGTTTTGCTCTAATGGTTTTTATCCGGTGACCTTTCAGAAACAGTTGTAGTTTAGTCTATATCCCAGTCTAGTCTACTGTCTTGTCTGTATGCAGAACTCCGGAATTATGTCACTGACTCTCAAATGCTTTAGGATTTTTTTGAGAAGTTATTTAAGACCAGAACAAACTCAACAAGCTTGCCTTTGTGCCCCTTCAAGGAAAAGCATAGGCTAAAAGGGCTTCTGGTATTTTCGAGAGAAACTTTTTTGGAAATTCTGGTTTGATCTGGATTTTCATAATATAGCTTGGAAATGCCAAGTGTTCTCTGGAATGCAGATTTGACTTAAATCCCTGAATTCTCCTAAATCATCCTGAGATTATTATGATTAGCTAGTTCATGTTATGAAGTCTGCAGTATTTGCTTTGTAATAAACCACCATGAATTCTCCTGTATGAAAACAAAAAACCCTCTTCTTTCCTTCTCTCCCCCTTTCCTTAGCTGTGTAGAAGACTTAGTGTCCTTAGAATGCATCTGTGTTCAGTTGTGTGATTTTCAAAGTCCTTTCACATGCATACTTATTTGACTTTATTCTTATATGAATCCTTTGAGGTTGTATTATTGCCACTTTTGTAGGGGAGACAAAATGACTTAACCAGGGTTACCACATATCCAAAGTGGTAAGGCTAGGGTTTATTCAGCTCTAGATATGCCTCATTAGCACTTCAACCCAGGTTTCTGACTCCAGAAGTTCTATAACCTTAATGTACTTTGCTGCTTATACGATATATAATGGGATAGCATATGGCTATTTTTGCACGTGGTCAACAAGGTAATCTTTTATCCCTGCAATCTTACTAGCAAAATCTAAACATTTGGAACAAACTACTCTGTTTTTTTAATCTGACTGTTTATTTAACTTTTAAGAGTTCAAATGGTGGGGTTTAGTTTTGCTTTAGTAGGAAGAATGACAAAGACTATGTGAATTAATTTTCTTCTGTGAATATTTGCAGTGTGGAACGTTATGATCCAAGTAAGGACTCCTGGGAGATGGTTGCATCTATGGCAGATAAAAGGATTCACTTTGGTGTGGGTGTCATGCTGGGCTTTATTTTTGTGGTAGGTGGACATAATGGTGTCTCACATTTGTCAAGTATTGAAAGATACGATCCTCATCAAAATCAGTGGACTCTGTGTAGACCAATGAAAGAACCCAGAACAGGTAATCATAACTTATAAATTTGTCACATATAGAACAATGTTTTTTATAGTGGTGGAATATAATAGCAAACAGTATTACTTGTTCAGGGGTAAAAAACTTTGAGGTGAACTGGAGGCAACTAGATTAGACAAAACTGCGTAGATTTCTTTACTGTGGTTTTACTATACCAGTGTGCGTATTATCATTTTAAGAAATGCTGGTAATACAATGTATCTTATAGAAGCTCTTTTCGTCCATATAACAAATGTCGTCTTTTTGTATTTATGCACATACACAATCCTCAGATGTTCTGTTTTGTCGCTCACTTTCAAATGTTCTCTCCTCCAGAAAAAGTTGGATTTCAGGTTACCTAGAGAAGAACAAACACGTCAAGGAAAAGAAGAAATTATCTTTGAGCCCAACTGAAATCACATTATTTTAAGGGGAAAGTTTTAAATTATTGGTGGAATACTTTAGGATATTCTTTGAATTTGTGACTTAAGAAGCTCGTGAAACATAAACTTGCAAAGAAAACTGAAAGGACAAAATGGAATGAACTATTTTAGTTGTTTACTATAATTAGTTTCCATGGTGTCATTGGGAGAGAAAGCCATAAAAAATTGAGAATGTGAAAAAATTTAGGCAGCCTGGTTTTTTTTTTAGAACTATGACATATAAAGTAGACTTTTTAGAGCAGAAACTGTGTAGCTCAGTAGATATTTTAAATATTTCAAAATACAGATTTCCCCTGCTACTTGAAAATAGTGTTCCTATTAAACCTTTCAGTAAGCCAAAATGGTTAAAACCTAGAAGCAGTTATGTTAGGACATCTTTTTAATGGATGCCCAGAGTCAATTGAGATAAAGCACAGATGCTCATAGACACAGGTCAGAGCTCTGGCGACCTGATGCTGAGCTACTGAGTGTGGCTCCCAGGGAAGGAGATTGGCAGTGCCGCTCTTGCTGCCTGGGATGCACGCTGCCCCTGTACCTGCTGGCTGCAAAACAATGCTGAATGCTAGTTTCACTTTTGACCACTTTTTGTAAAAACAAAAATCTTCAGATTTTTTTTGATTAGTGGAACATGTACAGGTGACCCATGAACAGCATTAGTTTGAACTGCTCAAGTCTACTTACATAGGGATTTTTTTCAATACTGTAAATATATTTTCTGTATCTTAGGATTTTCTCAAATTTTTGCTTCTTGCTTGCTTTTCTGTCAGAATATGATATATAATGCATGTAATTATAAAATATGGGTTAATGAACCATATGGGTGTATATTATGGGTGAAACTTATGGTCAACAGTAGGCTATTAAATTTTTGCAGTCAGAAGTTCTGTTTGGATTTTTTATTGTGCTGGTGTTGGTGTCCCTAGCCCCTGCATTGTTCAGGGGTCAACTATACTAAGGTAGGTGGGTTTTTCATAAAAGCAAAATGGTGTAATGTGAACTTGTGAAAGGAAGGGGGTACTTGTATTTGAAAACCTGGTAAAAATGAATGATTTCTTGAAAAATATATATAAATATGAATTGAGAAGAAAGCTTATGGAAGAATACATAATACATTCTTTTTTTCTTCACTCTCTTTTATTAAAAACATTGCATTATAGACATTTTAATTCATAAATAATCAATGTGGGCGGTGCATTTTACTGCATTCTTTTCTTTTTTTTACTTACCCAAGCCTTTATTTAAAAAGTACCTGCCATATGCACAATCCTGTGCAAACTATTAAAAGAATACAAAGATGAATTTAAAAATAGTGCCAACTCTCAAGGAGTTCATAAACTAGTGATAGTGACAAATAGCTTAACAGAAGCTGTAGGAAAAGAATTACTGCATTTTTAATACTAGTTTCCTGTGGAGGAGAGACAGAGAGAGAGAGAGTAGGATTGGGGAGCAAAAGTGAAGAAAGACTTCAGCTCTTACCTTACTTTTGTATACAGGGATATTACTGTATTGTTTGTATGATTAATAGATTGTTGAAATGTATTTTAAGAAAACATTAAGATACCAACTCACTTATTTTTAGTGAGAAGTTTACTAGATGGTTAACATGTTTTTTCTCTGTTTTTATTCACCTCTTCTAGGAGTTGGTGCTGCAGTAATTGATAACTACCTTTATGTAGTCGGTGGTCACTCAGGGTCCTCCTATCTGAACACCGTGCAAAAATATGACCCTATCTCAGATACATGGCTGGATTCAGCTGGCATGATATACTGTCGCTGCAATTTTGGATTAACCGCACTTTGACAAGTGTGGGCTCATGGAAATAGTGAGGTGATGAACCTCTGTCGCATGAAAGGATGCCCGGTTTTCTAAAACCCCAAAGCAGCATTGCTTTCTTTTTAACTTGAAATGACATGAAGACTCCAAGTTTTGTTGGTACTTTGAACTGACAAGTAGCTTTGGTTGCTCTTGATTACACAGTGAATGGATCATCAAAAAAAAAAAAAAGGAAAGATCTTGCTAATTGAATTGTGCACTTTTCCCCTGCTAATATTAGGATAAAGTAGTTTTATGTTTGTAAGTATACATGTGGGGAAAAACTTTTTTTTTTTTTTTTAAGTTTTAGCTCTCTTCCTCTGATATGTACCATGATTTACTAGGATAAATGATGTTTGGATGCTAGAGTGTAGTAAATGACTGGACAGAGTGCTGATACTGTCTGTTGGGTATAAATTCATATGCTTTACACTTTAAATAAAGGGCTGCTTTTTTTGGTACTCTTAGGGGTGTAAATTATATGCCATAGTGGCTCACCCGGACATTCTTTTTTGCTAAATGGCTTTAGGACTGAGAGCATAATAACTGTGCAAGACAAATGCTTTTACTATCATGATATTTGGGGGCCTATTTAAAGAAGTCATATTTACTGTTTATATCTTTTTTATATGGGCAGATTAATGCTGGATGAATTTACTTACCCATCTATGCTATGCTAAGCATGGATAGAGTTAAGCATATCAGTTTAATTTTTTAGTAGTACAGCAAGCTTCCCAATGTTGATGTAAATATTTGACAAATGTTTAGTATCATCCTTAATGCATATTAGTTTTTCATACACCCTTATAATAATTTCAGTTTTTAAGACATTTGTTTGCTTTTTCAAGTGTTCTGATATAAAAATGGTGCTAACTGTAGGAACTATAATGAAGCTATAACATTGTTCTTTTGGATGTTCAGTATGAGTATGCATGACATGTTTTGATAGTATTTTTCATTTTTACTGGCTTGATTTATTTGTACTTATTAAAAATGATAGTGAATATACTAATGATAGCATCCAAAAATTATATAAAAATCCATGTTCTGCTTTCCATAGTGATTTAAAGAAAGATACATTTTGATCTTTCTTCTTATACTAAATATTACATGTCCTTCTTAAAACTAGAAATATATGCATTAAATTTAAAGCACTGGGCAGTTATGCATTACTCTGCATTTCTTAGGTAACTGAGTATTTTAAAGTTACTGAGGAAAACTGGAACTTAGTGTTTACTTGAGTAATGGTTCTAAATTTGGTCCTATTTTGACTAAAGAAGTGCTCTTTTAAAGCAAAATTGTTTGTTATTGCCAAGTGACAGCTTATTTAAAAGAAGTGGTTGACTCATTTTGTTTTAGCATGTTTTAGTGACTGTCTATTAGTCTTGAACACATAACCTTGCATTTTATCTGGATTGTCGGTACTTTCATTTTTGGTACTAGAGTCATTTTATTTTATTTTCCATTTTTTTTTTTACCTGCCCACCATCTCTTTATAGTCTCTGTAAAACCAGTGTATATTTGTAAGAAAATTTCATATTTCATTCTTCTTAAGTGCCATAATGTTTTAAACTATTGTTAAGAAGCCATTCTTAATTATAAAAATGTAAGTTTGTTTGTTAGCATATGTGTTATTTCTTGAAAACTATAGCTGGGCAATTTGCTGTTTTCCTTGTTCTTCCATAAACTGCCAGTTGTAGATTTAAATATATATTACCAAACTATGTAAAAATCACCTTTAAACATTAGTATCATGCTTTATGAATATTTGCACAGATTATAAAACCTTGCAAGTGACTTTTAGTCTCTTCTAATTAAGAATTCAACAGGAGCTACTAATAAACTTGACAGGCTGAGTATTTTCTATGTTGCTTGTTTTAAAAATCAATGATATATAGCAATAACTTTTTAATTGATTTGAATAAACTTAATGGATAGAAACAAGGTGCACTATTGTGATTGGTCTAGACTTGATTTAAAGAAAAGCAGTTTAAAATAGATTTTATCACATACATAAATGTCCCAACTTGATTTTCTTATTTATGTCAGTAAGCTTGTTAAATACATCCTGTTGTTTTATTTTTAATCCTTTGTCCCCAGAAGAGAATTTGAAAGACTACAAAATAATTTGAATTGTAAACAGAGCTATATTATACATTTTATTTTAATAGTATTTTACTCTATCATTGCCACTACCAAATTAGTATAAAATATATACTTCATTTGATAAATTAGATCAAAGGCATTCATTGCTTTGGAAAAATCTGAATTTGATGTTAAAGAGGATTGAATGTGAAACATTTTGAGCAATAATAGGAGTCATGTACCAGAGAACAAATTATGAAAACCTGTAAAAGGAAGAGAAAAAAACCCCTAAATTTAACAATATTTATTTCAGGTTTGCCAAACCTATTGTACTACTGTTCACAACAACTGGAGGTATTAATGTGACCTGACAATTAATTACTTTGCAACAGGGCCTTTTTGTGTGGATTTTTGAGAAATTTATTTATGAATACTCTGCTGACAAATTGTGAATTTAAAGCAACATGTGTCTTATGTTAAAATGGATAAAGGTATTTGATTATAAATTCCCAGGGTCAAATATCAATATATTAGAGATCAACAAGGAGACAGTTAAGGTTGCCCCCAAAATTTTTTGAAAAAAGTGACAGTGATAAATAGTCTAAATCAGTTGGAAGCTAATTAATTGCCTTTTATAATTATTTTACAAAGACTTAACCACTTAGGAATGTTTGGCTGTTTAGTATTTGTTGAATATAGTAATAGAACTTAAGTGCTTTTTAATGTAGCCCAAAGGATATTTATGTAAGTTCTACTTGTTATTGCTAATATTGTTTTAGATATGAATGAATATGTAATTATAGGGAGTGATATCAAGTATTAGGAAAACATTAGGTCTGAAAATTATTTTGATAATTTGACAAATATGGAGGGTCTACTATATGTATGAGATATTGTGATAGATACTATAGAGGCTAGAAATGTAAATAAGCTTTTCACTCAATAATATATAGTGAGGGAGACCTGTATCCAAAGAACTGTTATGGTAAGGTGTGAATCTAATTCTTAATCTCCACCATCATAAGAAGTAATTAGAGACCCACTTTATGTGTAAACATTTGTGTCCTTTAATGTTCACTTAGGTTTTATTGGCATGAAAGAATTATTTTAAAAACCTAATGTCTGTAGAAATGCAAATTTCCTAGAACTTGATAATATATTTTCTAGTAGAAAAACAAAATTATAGAAGCTTTAAGAAATACTAACTATATTATCAAGGCTCTGTCTGACATTGAAGGAAATATATGTACATACAGTGCTCTGTTTGTTTTGTGTTTTGGTGTTGAATTTCTGGTATTGCCACCTAAGTGCTCATTTTTAGGAAAATCAGATTCTAGAGTAAATATACTGCTTAAAATTTAATGAACGTTTGATAACCTCTATAACCTCTGTAGTCTAAAAGTTAAGAAATTACAAGATGTCACAAGTCAAGTTAACATCCAGTTCTACTTTTTAACCCATTTTTTCCTTTGTGAAATGGCACTTTAAATCAGACATGTTTTAATTATTCTGTGGCTGGATATATATTGGATTTTCACTTCCAGTATATTGATTCAGTGTTGATATACATTTGAAAAGAGTCAAGAATACAGTTAAGTTTTAAATACTATAGGTTTGCAAGTTATTGGTATGACTATGGAGTCAAATCAAAACCCAGTTCCCTGCAGAGAGAAAAATTGTTATCCGTATGTTTTTGATACCTATTTAACTAAAGATAATTTATTGTTATTTTTGTCATTACCATGTGTAGGTCCCATTTATTTTAAAATACCAAGCAAAAAGTTCCAAGTTTGCCTTAAAATACAAATGAAATTAAAGAACTGGATGATAATGCCTATATTTTTGCCTTATGAATTGTGCTGTATCATAAACCAGAGATGTTCTGATTTTAACAGGATTCTGAAATTGTGTAGATGTAGAGTACAAATATATGTACTCTCTTGAAAAGAATGTGATCTAGTTGTGGATTATGTTAATATTTAAATGTTTCTGTATCTATACTTTACCTCTGAATATGTATCTTTTTTAGCATCAGGGTTTCATTTTATTTTTGTTTACATAGGAAAGTGACATTTAACTTGTTGACAGTTGTATTTTGTTTTTTATTTTAAAAGTTCTTTGTACGTACTATTGTGGTAATGCTCTGTAATGACTATGGTTAAATTTCACTTAATGTGAAATGTTTAGAATAAATTTGAAAAACATGAGTTTGTGTCAATTGTGAACTAACCTGAGCTAACTTAGCATGCTCAAAATTTAGGTTCTTCTTGGTAGACAGTTGGTAGCCACAAAAATTGAGGTGGGTGTAGTAGGATAACCACACATTCACACACTTAACTAAAGAAACATTTATTAGCCGCACAGGCACAAGAGTTCAGCGGCTAAGTTCAATGCAGCCCCAGCTTTCTACCCTTTAGATTCTGTAACCACTCTTATAAGAAAGATTTACTGGAGGCAGACAAGGTAACATTCCAGAGGATTTTTTTACCCTTTGGGCCTCATCAGGTAACCAGCCACTCTCCTAAAGGGAAGAGCCGTAAACAACAAATTGAGCTGCAGGGGCCATCTTTAAGGAAGTTGTAAACCACAGGCTTGAATGGATTCAGATAACCGGTCCACGCAAGGATTGGAAATGTCTCGTATTTTTAGATACTCTTGAAAAGGGACTTTTGGTTTAATTCTTGATTTGTCATGGGTTTTTTCCCCTTAACCTGAAAATCGTGGTATCTATCAACATTCACATAATTACCTATTTGATTTATTTTAATCATACTTTTAGTTTTGAAGTAACATGATATAAATATCAATGAATGCAGTTAAGATGCCTTCGTAATTCTTTTTTGTCCTTAGAATATATTCCACAAGGATAAACAATAAAAACATCACTGGTTTTAGAGTCAAAAAAAGTAAAATTTTTATTTGGTTAAAGCATAATGGCTTTACATTTACTGTACACTTAGGTTATTTTAATTAATGTTTTCATTTCTAGGGGTATGTTTTTAATTTTATTTTTAAGTGATACAACAAAATATTTACCTGACTCCAAAGTCAAAGCTCTATGAGATGTATTCGCAGTGTTTGTCTGCATTTCCATCTCTTCCACTGTTCATTTTTATTTCCCTGTAGGTAATCGTATTTATTAGATACTGGTTCCATTCTTTCATTTTGAAAATACTAGTACACCACCTTCCCCATTACCTTACAAAACAGCATACTGTAAAAACAGTTTTAAACTTTTTTTCTATGTAATATATTCAGAGGATTATTCCACACTGATATATTGAGTTAAATTCTTATTTTCTGCAGTTATGTGGTACTGTACTGTGTGGATATATCATAGGACTTTTAAGTAGTCTGTTGATGGATATTTAGGTAGTTTCCAGACTTTATTTATAAATAATGCTGTAATGAGTAGCCTCATACACATGTCCTTTTGTTTTGAGTATAGATTTTAAGAACTGGAATTGCTAGGTGGCATGGTAGATACATAATTTGCTCAGTTTTGCCTGTTTTAATCCAGGCTGCTCTAACAAAATACCATAGACTGGATAGCTTATAAACAAGTTTATTTCTCACTGGAGCCTGGAAGTGCAAGACCAGAATGTCAGCATGGCTGGGTTCTGGTGAGACCCTTCTTAGACTGCCTACTTCTCATTGTTCCCTCAAATGGCAAAGAGTACAAAGGGGAAGAAAGCTCTCGTGATTCTTATAAGGACCCTGATCTTATTCATGACATATCCATCTTCATGGCCTCATCTAACGATAATTACCACCAAAAGGTCCCACCTAATTACATCACAAGGAGATGGTTAGGTTTCAACATATGAATGCTGGGGAAACATGCAGTCTGTAACGTCCAATTCTCCCACGTGGTTATACCATTCTCCATTCCCATCTACAGTAGACAGGATTGTCTTACAGGCTATTTTCATTAGTCTACCTACTTGAAGCATATTGAAAGAGCTGGCCTGCCCCATGGGCAGCTGCTGAGATTCTGAAGGGATATCTCAAGTGGCAAAGATTCCTCCTGAGGAGCATGGAGTCTCAATCCCATGCCAGGCTCCCCAGCCCAGAGCCTCAGAACTGGAAAGAGGCAACCACATAACAGGTTGCAGAAAGTATGGGGGTTCTATCTGTCATGGAGAGATGGGAGTCTGCTAGATACAGATGCCCTCTTAAAGGGCCAGTGCACAAAAATCTCATTCTCAGTCCCTCACCCTGAGCTCTAGCAGAGGGAAAGAAAAGTGAACTAGAGTCATGTGAGGAAAGATGGGTTTATGGCTCTTGGTAGAAAGCTAAGTGGACAGATTCTGGGATGCCTGTTCGGAGTCATTCTGCACCATCTTTCTTGGGTGGAGCACTCCCCTCCATACAGCATCAGCCTAGGAGAAAGCAATAACTCCACCATCAAGAGTTCCTCACTCTACCCTGTGGAGCTTGTGACCTGCTAAGGAGTCAGCTGCCTGGACTGAAGCATAGAGGCACCAGTAGGCAGAGCTGGGGTGTCAGTGACTGAGTCACATGGATTTGGGGTGGGGCCCAAATTTCTCCCCCAACTTCCTCATGAACTCGATTGGCACTTCCCACAAACAGGATATCTGCTAGCTCGCGGAGAGTGCTCCAGGCTCCTCGTGACCCCACCCTCCTGACTTCCGGTGGCTCTGCCCTGCTGAAATCAGGACACAATTCTGGACTGACTGAGTCATGGCTATGGGGTAGGAGGCCACTGCCTCCACATTCCTCCAAGCATCACCAGCACCTCCCTCTCACAGGAGATCCTGAAGGCCCTGTCCTGCTGAGATCAGGTTCCTGGCAGAAACTGGGACAGACTGAGTTGTGTGGCCCTAGGACAGGGGCCATGTTTCATTTGCATGCCTGACCAGTGCAGAGCCCTCCCTCCACATGGCCAAATCTTGGTCTGTTTGGGCCTGGTAAACTCTGCCATTCTCATCCTGTGAACTCCCTGAAACCCCACACCACCACAAATGTGTTCAAGCACCCAGCAAATGGCAGCTAGACTTGACACACTATGGGACGTTTGCCAAGTGGCCTTTGACCCTGGAGCACCATGTTCATATGATCAAGGAGACCGCACCACAGGGTCCCACAGAACACCTGCTACATACGACCACCCTACCAAGGTTCTCTTGGTGTGTGTTTGTATGTATTAGATCTGCTTTGACTCCCTGTCTTCATAGGGTGGCCTTATGTGGTAGGAGTCTTGTGGGATACAGTGGCACAGTCTCCTTGATCTCCTGAGCTGGATATTCTAGGAATGTCCCTTGTGTCGGTTATGTAGACTCTCCTATTGCATTTGGGTCCTGATTTTTATGGCCCTTTCATTAGTGGTATCTTTCCTCTGGCTGACTGGCTGAGAGGCTCAAATCTCAACACATTTTGTATCCCATTGTACAGGTGCTGACAAAGCAAAGCAAAACAATACAAAAACAAAAAACAAAGCAAGCAATTCCTCCAACAACAGCAAAAACAGTGATAAAAGAGCAAAGAATAAAAAAAAGTGGGAATAGAAATGAAATAGTAGAGAAGGGGGAAAAGGAAAAAAGAATAAGACTGAAGGAAAGAAAACTTTTTATGAGAGGAGAAAAGGAAGATAACTAACATGAGTAATGAACAGAAAGGAAATCAGAAAAAGGGACAAAGAAAGATTAATAAAAATAAGAAAAGGAAAGAAGGAGACAGTGGAGTAATCAAAGGTAACAGTAAAATAAGAAATATGAAAGAAAAAATACAACAACAAAAGAAGAGAAAGACAAAATAGAAAAATAATAAAAAGTCTATGAAAAATAATAATGAAGAAGAACAGAGTGCAATTTGTTTCATCAGAATTTGATGCTAGCCAGCTGGGTTGTTCCTTTGAATATCTCTGATGTTGTCTGAGGCTGGTATAAACCAATGTCAGGTACTGTAGATGTCTAGCCCTCAGCAGCCTGTTCAAAGTGATCCAAAGTGTATGGCCAATTCCTCCAGGCTTGGTTGCACCCAGGATAGGCCAGGCTGCTCTGCAAAACTGGCTTTTATCAGCAGTGGGTTCAGGGGGTGGTCAGCAAATATTCCAAGGTACTACAAGATCTGCCTCTGTCTTTCTCTGCCTGCTGGCCTACTATCAATATTAGACTAGCCACAGACCCAACTGTTTCTGTGAGGGCTTCTGGTGGAATTGCAGAGATAGAACTCCTGGATCTCCCGTGGGTGGTACCTTTCAGACTTCAGAGAAGATGGTGGTGTGTTCCCTTAACAAAGATCAAATTTTTATTGAATTTTTAAAAAAAGTTTATTCTACAGGGGAAAAGGGGAAGGATTCACAGGAACTAGTATAAAGGACACATGGTCAAAAACTAGGGGCGTGGAACTGGGAGGGAGGTGGGGAGCACTGGGGGGGTGAGCTGGGATGGGAGTAAAAGACAGAAAATTGTACTTGAACAACAGTTAAAATAAATAAAAAACAATTAGAAAAAATTTTAATTTTAAAACTTCAAGTTTTCTGTCTTTTACTCCCATCCCAGCTCACCCCCCCAGTGCTCCCCACCTCCCTCCCATTTCCACTCCCCTTAGTTTTTGTCTATGTGTCCTTTATACTTGTTCCTGTAAATCCTTCCCCTTTTTCTCTGAAATTCCCCTGAAATTCCCTCCCTTCTCCCCTCTGGTCATTGTCAGCCTGTTCTCAACTTCAGTGTTTTTGGTTATATTTTGCTTGTTTATTTATTTTGTTGATTAGGTTCCTGTTAAAGGTGAGATCACATGATATTTGTCTTTCACTGCCTGGCTTATTTTGCTTACCATAATGCTTTCCAGTTCCAATAATGGGGGAGGGGGTGGAAACATGGGAGGGAAGTGGGGAGGGCTGCAGTGTTGGGCTGGGGTGGGGGTAAGAGGCAGAAAACTATATTTGAACAGTAATAAAAATATAAAAAAATAAATCATACATAAAGACAAACACACACACAAACATAATAAAGGCCGTATATGAGAGACCTATAGCCAACATCATACTCAGTGGGCAAAAACTACAAACTTTTCCACTAACATCAAGGACAAAGTTGTCCACTTTCATCACTTCTATTCAGCATAGTATTGGAAGTCCTTGCCACAGCAATCAGACAAGAAAAGGAAATAAAAGGCATCCAAA